GAGACTTACCTGGACAGGTGTTGGCGCCCGGCGTGTCCTCGGCGTGGATTCGTCCCATCTCAGGCGCATCCCGGAGGAGGCGAGCGGCGAGGAGTATCGCAGCCTCAGCCACAGGCCGCCTGTATTTACAATGTGCGATAAATAATTCAGGGGCCCCCCGGGGACACAGGCTGCGAGCGGAGGCGCTGCGAGAGGCAGGTGCGTGGGGAGTGCAGACAGACGGGCGGGACGGAAGTGCACGTCAGACAGGTGAGAGGCTGAACAGGTAGATAGTACGGGAGAGGGAGGACAGTGAAAGTGAGCCGCCATTACACCTGCAGATCGGGACGGTTCACCTAAGGATCATTCATCAAAGTAAAGAGGACCTGTCTGTTACTAAACCTTATCAATACATTCCTGGCTTGTCACAACATACAGCAACAGGATCATTTCTCCTTTTATCATTAGGCAGCCACCCTAGAGCTCCACTTTTTGACTTGGCCTAGGCTGAGATGATGTCATAAGTCTGCTGCAGGCAGGAGGAAGCATTTCCGCAGTCTCCCCTCCCCCAGTGATCAGTCTGCAGCAGGTAGGAGGAAGCAGTTCCTCAGTCTCCCCTCACCCAGTGATCAGTCTGCTGCAGGCAGGAGGAAGCATTTCCTCAGTCTCCCCTCCCCCAGTGATCAGTCAGTCTCCCTTCAACAGTGATCAGTCTGCTGCAGGCAGGAGGAAGCAGTTCCCCCTTTCTTCCCTCCTCCAGTGATCAGTCAGTCTCCCCTCACCAGTGATCAGTCTGCTGCAGGCAGGAGGACGCATTCCCTCAGTCTCCCCTCCTCCAGTGATCAGTCAGTCTCCCCTCACCAGTGATCAGTCTGCTGCAGGCAGGAGGAAGCAGTTCCCCCTTTCTTCCCTCCATCAGTGATCAGTCAGCCTCCCCTCCCCCAGTGATCAGTCAGTCTCCCCTCCCCCAGTAATCAGTCAGTCTCCCCTCCCCCAGTAATCAGTCAGTCTCCCCTCCCCCAGTGATCAGTCAGTCTCCCCTCACCCAGTGATCAGTCTGCTGCAGGCAGGAGGAAGCATTCCCTCAGCCTCCCCTCCTCCAGTGATCAGAATGCAACATTGTAACTTTGTATCCAGTCACAAGGTAAAAGGCTGTCTCAGGGACTGATTTGTGTCAAACATTTAGGCCTCATTCACACACAACGCAATAGCAAAATTGTACATCGCGTATATGCGCGTGAAATACGCCGCCCGGACGCATCTCGGGTCCATTCTGGTTTTTTTGCACATTTTTACGCTACGCAAATATACGGCTCCATACGCAGCTATGTGTACGGAGCCATTTATTTGCATATGCTGCGTATGGTACAATACGCGTGTACGCGCATGTATACGCGGCAGTGTGAATGAGGCCTTGTGAACACAGCCAAGAACACATGCACAGAGTTGGTAAAGACTAAACTGCAAGAAGGAGATAATCTCTCCCGCAAAGAAGCCCCCGCAGACCTCACACCACGGGAAGTACACCTTCCACATCCAAAGCTAGAGCTTTCCAGAGGTGGACTTCCTAGACATGCGCACCAGCAAAACATTCGTTTAGTTTCGATTCGGATTTGGCATTATTTCGTTTTTCGTATTCGGGTCCAAAATTTAATTCGTTTCGGAATTCGTTGCAGCAAAATGACATTAGGAAAAAAAAATTCTAATTAGTTTTTTTTTTTTTACAGTCTGCAGAAGATGAAAAAAAAAAAAGCGTGAGGTTCCCCCCCAATTCATATCAGGCCCTTTAGGTCTGGTAGGAATGTTAGGAGGGACCCCCAAGTTAAAACACAAAAAAAGTGCGTGGGGTTCCCCTCAAAATCCCTACCAGACCCAGAGCCCGCACTGACCACCCGGAGCCAGCACTGACCACCCGGAGCTCACTGACCACCCACAGCCCGCACTGACCACCCGGAGCCCGCACTGACCACCCGGAGCCCGCACTGACCACCCGGAGCCCGCACTGACCACCAGGAGCCCACACTGACCGCCTACAGCATGCACTGACCACCTACAGTCTGCACTGACCACCTACAGTCTGCACTGACCACCTACAGTCTGCAGCAGTTCCCCCTTTCTTCCCTCCATCAGTGATCAGTCAGCCTCCCCTCCCCCAGTGATCAGTCAGTCTCCCCTCCCCCAGTAATCAGTCAGTCTCCCCTCCCCCAGTAATCAGTCAGTCTCCCCTCCCCCAGTGATCAGTCAGTCTCCCCTCACCCAGTGATCAGTCTGCTGCAGGCAGGAGGAAGCATTCCCTCAGCCTCCCCTCCTCCAGTGATCAGAATGCAACATTGTAACTTTGTATCCAGTCACAAGGTAAAAGGCTGTCTCAGGGACTGATTTGTGTCAAACATTTAGGCCTCATTCACACACAACGCAATAGCAAAATTGTACATCGCGTATATGCGCGTGAAATACGCCGCCCGGACGCATCTCGGGTCCATTCTGGTTTTTTTGCACATTTTTACGCTACGCAAATATACGGCTCCATACGCAGCTATGTGTACGGAGCCATTTATTTGCATATGCTGCGTATGGTACAATACGCGTGTACGCGCATGTATACGCGGCAGTGTGAATGAGGCCTTGTGAACACAGCCAAGAACACATGCACAGAGTTGGTAAAGACTAAACTGCAAGAAGGAGATAATCTCTCCCGCAAAGAAGCCCCCGCAGACCTCACACCACGGGAAGTACACCTTCCACATCCAAAGCTAGAGCTTTCCAGAGGTGGACTTCCTAGACATGCGCACCAGCAAAACATTCGTTTAGTTTCGATTCGGATTTGGCATTATTTCGTTTTTCGTATTCGGGTCCAAAATTTAATTCGTTTCGGAATTCGTTGCAGCAAAATGACATTAGGAAAAAAAAATTCTAATTAGTTTTTTTTTTTTTACAGTCTGCAGAAGATGAAAAAAAAAAAAGCGTGAGGTCCCCCCCCAATTCATATCAGGCCCTTTAGGTCTGGTAGGAATGTTAGGAGGGACCCCCAAGTTAAAACACAAAAAAAGTGCGTGGGGTTCCCCTCAAAATCCCTACCAGACCCAGAGCCCGCACTGACCACCCGGAGCCAGCACTGACCACCCGGAGCTCACTGACCACCCACAGCCCGCACTGACCACCCGGAGCCCGCACTGACCACCCGGAGCCCGCACTGACCACCCGGAGC